AAGAGAAAAAGAGGAGGAGGAGAAGGGGGAGGAGTAGGAGGGGAGAGATAGAGGAGAACAGAAAAAAAAATTACCAAAAAAACAACCAGTAGTTGAAACAGCTCACTTGGCTTACGCTCAATACTTTGTTCTTAAATAGCACTGCAAACTCAGAGCCCACATACATATGTATGTCTGAGGGTAAGGTGCTTACAAGAAATGTCTTTGAAGCTATTTTGTGGTTAGTGTTCTCTCTCTGCAACGATCTCCACAACAGTGTACAAGACAACACCACACCTGTCTTTTTCCTTTAGCAAAAAGTCAGGAGTTCTTTTTAACTTTGTAACAAATTTAAACATGGAAAAACAGTGTCTCTTAAACCAGTGATCCTATCATAGTCTTCAACTGACTTTAAGGTTCTTCAGATATTTCCAAATCAGTTGAGGTTCCTATTGCTCAGAGGTGTTCTGGGGCTTTCAGTTCAACTTGATTTAACTCCGAATCCTGGCACACCTGCGGTAAAGTGGTAGTGAAGGTGAAACTGAACCCCTTTCATTTCAGAACCACAAAACACTCACCAACGGAAAAGTGGCATTGTTTTCAACGCCCATCAGCTGCAGGGGTGGCAGTGGCCAGTTGTCCCACTGTGAGTGAGATCAGGATCCTAATCACATAAATTTATGCCGGGGATAAACAGGTTACACTGTTTTCTTTTTCCTGTGGTCACTAGAATGGAGAACCCTCAAGGACAGTGTAAGAGGAAATCCAAGGACAGGAGAAATACTGGCCAAGAGAATGGCCTAGGAAAGGGACAGACCAAAAGAAGGGGAAAGGAAGAGAGAGGCTCTGATTCTTCACTTGCTGTGCTGCTGACTGGACGGTGTCCCTCCAAAGCCATACGTGGAAGCCCTTACCTCTAAGGCGATGGCATTTGGAGTCGAGGTCTTTGGGAGGACATTAAGTTAAGGATGAGGTCATGAGGATGGGGCTCTCTTAGGATGAAGTTAGTACTTGTAAGACGAGGCAATAGAGAGCTTGGTTTCTCTCTTTCCTCTTTTCCCTCACCCTCTACGTGGCAAGAAGTTGTCCTCTGCGGGACCAGAACAGGAGAAAAAGAATGAGCTAGCACCTCCACCTTCACCTTCCCAACCTCCACCCAGATCTGTGAGAAACAAATGTTTATTAAGCCAACCAGATATTCTGTTACAGTAGCTTGATCCAAGAGTGCTAAGACAAGCCAAGAACGCGGAGTGAAGCCCTCCTCTTAGAAAATGCACACTTTCTATTTCCCTTTATGGAATATCACCTGGGCCGAATATCACCTGGGCCACAGTTACACACCCGCTGGAGCGCATCTCTTCTCAAGCTGAGTTCTTCCCTCCACAGTGAAGCACTCCTCCTCTAGTCCTGCTGTCCCCTCCGCTTGCTGGGACGCTATGTCTCCAGCAGATCTTCCAGAAACACCAGTGTTTTTCCAAATTTTAGAAGGGAAAACTCAGTAATTACTTGGCAGTAAAGACAGACTACTTTTTGTCTACAGAGTAGCCAGCTCCACATGGCCACTGTTCACTGCAGCCAACTGGCCTGGGAGGCATTTTTTATTTTTTTAAGGAAACTCAACCTCAGAGTTTCATCTGGATGCACAGATTTATGGCCAAAACAGAGTTTTCCAACTGAGTTACCCAATATGGAGGATGTGAAAACACATGAATTTTTCCAATATTTTCAATAAAATTAAACAGCATAGAACAGAAAATATTCGAGTGTATTGTTGGCAATAAGAATAGGCATTAGCTCATGAAATTGTTTTGTTTCACACACATGCACATGTCACTAAACCTGCATGGTTGTTCAGCAGCCATCTATATATACACACATAGAATGAATATTTCTACACACACACATCAAGAGATGCCTCGTAATAAATTAGTGACTATAATTAAGTTTTCGTTTTTGTGTCTGCAAATCAGGAGAGAGTGAGTATTGAAGGTCAGTAGACTAAAGTAACAATAGTAAGTAAAATGGTAATGTAAAAAAATCCAAAATAATGTAACACACTGTTATTTTGTCCTAGTTACCTTTTATTTGGTTTTTCAATGTACATGTCAGGAAATGGACCTGACTTAGTCACAAGTGTTCTTTCAATCTGGTGCAACAGGCAGAAGCATGAGGTAAAAAATAACTAAAAAGTGGATGTAGGTTTTTATGCACAAGGCCAAATCCTCGCCATAAAGCAGGCCATGCCAATTCTTGTCATCTCCTGTGCCAAACCACTGGGCAGAATCTGAACCACAGGCAAGCTCTCCTCTCCATTAGAAAAACCTTGAAAATGCCAGTTCCTGAAATCACTGGGCAAAAGACCAACTGCTATCTAGGATACAGAACTCTGAATAGGATCATGGCTAACTCATATTTTTAAAGTAGAATTGAGTTTATTAGTATATTATGATTTTTATAAATCATAAATATTTTCAAATGTGATTTTGGAAAAATTAATTTGCATGAAACTTTTAAATAACCCATTCACACACATCCATAAACCCCCCCCCCCGAAGAAGTTATTTCCTCTTCCCTGGTCTGAACAGCTGTACATGAATAAAAGCTTCCAGCACCTGCCTGCACAAGCTCCATGCGGTGGCTTTGTGGGGACAGCCATGGGAATGTGGGGCCCCTGGAGTTGCCACACACATCCTCGGTTTCCATCATGTTGCCCCAATGGTCATGAGTTGGACCTTGAGTTCAAGAGTCACTAGTTTATAACAGATAGTGGTAACAGAGGAACCAACCCACAAGGTACTCTGATAGTGACTGTCCATACTCTGCAGTTACCCGGTGGTACCACCCAGCGTCAGAAGCACCATCCTCTTAGCATGTCAACCTCAACTGTGTACTAATTAATTAAAAGTACTGTTCTCAGAGTTACCACTGGCAGGCAGATTTTATTCAAGACTGAGAAAAAGACTTGAAACCAATTCACGGCGCTAAACTTGATCACCAGTGTAGGAAGGAAGAGGGCTTTTGTCACGTAGTCAGTACCTAAAATGATAATTCTGTTGCATCCTCTAGCTTTATAAATTCTTAATAATGATATGGAGAATACTAGTTGCAATATATTTTAGGTTTATGGAGTTAAAAAGTACCGCTTGGATCATGAAGTGGTAACATTTCTCAAAGTCATAACCAAATAGTGTAAGCACACAATGCTGCCATCTACAGATAACTTACCTAACACTACACAGCGCTGCTGGAAACAGCCACCGGAATACACATTTCTAGCTTTTAGTCTCAAAATACTTAAATTCTATTATTTTTTTAAGGTAGTCAAAAGACTAGATAGCGGGGCAAGAGTCTTAGCAATACACGATAGATTTATATTTATCGCCCAGAATTTTCAGCAACATGTAGCACCAAACCTTAGGAAGATAATTCACATTCCTTAGGTTTTCTCTATGCAGTCTACCAGCTACCATCTCATGTGTGCGTGAAATTGATAGGCTGTTTTTCCTACCACTTCCCCACTCCTCAAATTCAAAGAAATTTCTCAAGCTTTCTGAGGGCACAGCTTATGTATAAAGACAACACGTATTTAGAAGTCAGAAACAGTCAGATGCATCTGGGTTCGACGTTACTGAGAAGGCGGTCAGATGCGCTTTGGATGGGCTGCTGGGACAGTCCCTGCAGCAGCAGCAAGGCACTTCCTCTACTATGTGGCACTTTCCGAACTGCAAAGAAACAATTTTAAGTTGATTATCTCCTCAATCAAAATTTAGCACTGAACCACTGCAACTCATCTTAGAATTACAACAGGCTTTGAAACTTACAGAAAGACGCATTTGGTTGTTATTTCATTTCTGTGTATGCACAATAGACCTTCAGATGAACACTGAGAAATGTGATCAAAAATGGGTTTGGGTAGGCATTATCCCATGCTCAAAAATTTTGAGACTTTTTAAACTAAATATTCATTGAGAAGTCTTGCATTTTTTACACACACCACTTGTACTCAATTAGCAAATCAGAGAAAGGGAAGGCAGTGACCCTTGCATCTTCCCACTAACTACCAAGAGATACAATCCTGGTCTGTGTGGTCTCTAATGCCATTTTTTTAAAGTGGCTGTTAGCTAAACGATTTCCAGCAAAAGGAGAGTGAAATGGCAAAGAAGTTGGAACTTGTCAACAGTTGAAATGACATTCTTCAGATTCCCTATAATAAAAGGCCTGCATAAACTGAGTGTTGAAACCAAGTCACCTTAGCATGGATAACTGAAAGGAAGGAAGGGAAAGAAAGGAAGAAAAGGAAAGAAAAAAAGTTCAGTGGATAAAAGTCTGAGAACACACGGGATCATTCACAGGGAGAAACTGCTACTTGTTTGGCTCCTCAGGGAAGAGGTAAGAGCCATTTCTGCTTCCCTAGGGAGATGGTTTCTTGCATACATAATTTAAATAAATCACTCCAGCGCTGCAAAGAGGAGCCCGACTCTTCTCACTAATTACCACTGCCTGGACCCCTTGTGCTGCTTTCCCTTTAACTCTCTTAAATGATTCATCCCTCCTTTAGCTCCTGAGCACGCTCTGCAGGGAAGCTAGTATTTAAGTTTAATTTCCAGTGCCCCTTGCTTTGGAGGGCTCGATGACAGTCAGGTGGAAGACTCTAATTTAATAATTTTGTGAAGGTTTGGAAGAGCATCCTCCGACCTCCCCCTTCCCCCGCCCCCCGTCAATAACTATCGGTGAGCCAAGGCGCTGTTGGTGAACGCAGGGCCCACGTGCGGTGAAAACTGTCACCCAGAAGAAGTGGCAGCCGGCGGGGAGCAGCCGGCAGGGCGGGGAGTGCGGGCCTAGGCGCTCAAGGGGACAGAGCACCAGCACCTGAGAGGAGCTCAGCTCTCTCCCGGAGACACCTGGGGGAGAAATCAAGGGCAGGGAGCCCTCCCGCAGCCTCGGGAGGGGGCGACCCGCGCTCGCCGCAGCGCCCCCTTCCCGGCCCGCGGCCCCCGCCGCGCCCTCCGCGCCCGCCTTACCGTCCCAGCTCCGACTCCACCTCGAAGAAATCGCTCAGCGCATCCCGGTTGGAGCCGTCGATCCAGTAATCCGGGACGAGGCTCCCGGCCCCCGGGGCCGCACCGGCGGCGACCGAAGAGCAGGACGAGGAGGAGCAGGAGGGCACGGTGACTTTGAGCATCTTCGCGCCGCGAC